TCTGCCGCCGGTTCACTGATTGCCACCTGCTAAGGCTACCCGAACGCCAGGGAGGACGTCGATGCCTAGCTCGCCGGTACACACACCGACCCCGCCAGCACCAACGAGATCTGCGCGGTTCGCGTGAGACCAAACCCCTGGGAACGCAGCGGGTGGGATGGGTGAGCACCGTGCTCTTCCTCCATCTTCTCGTACACACGGGCATCACCAGACTCCCCGGCACTTTTGGACATCCCCCAGGAAAAGGGGTCTGGGAAGACGAGCCCCTGGCAAGGCAAGGCAAGAGGAGCCTTCCCGAGAACTTCTGGTTATGCATTTAGCTATCCTGCTGGAGCAGAAACCCCCAAACGCCACTTTTGTAACCGGCTGCATTTTTACTTCCTCACAACCGTCTCCACAGCAGACTTCCACGGTTGTGCAGAAACCCAGCGCCAAACCACCTTCTTGCCTTACTCTATTATTTTATTCCTAGGAACAGTAGTCTGGAGCTGCCCTCCTTGGCACTGCCCGGGACCTGAAGAGCCTCCCTCACTCTCCCACCAAGGCACCAAAGAACATTTCGCCACGCAGAGCCGCGTGTCGTGGCCCTCGCTCAACGCGCCGCCCGAAGTTGCCTTTTCACGGTCCCATTTCTGACTGCAGCCAGCTTTTAATCAAGCAGCACAACCCAGAACAGGAGAGGTGCTTGCAATTACATCCGCAGGTAGACCAAAACCAGCAAAGCGCAGGAAACCTCTTTCTGTTACAGACAGACAGAGCAGACAGGAAGCTGCAACGTTTCCGCCTGGCCAGCGCACATTTAGTGCATCGCTGCTGAGAAGTCCCATCGCCTTGCATCGCTCGCTCAAGTTAAAGCTTGCAATTCAGCCCGCTCGTGTTCTGCGAAGCGGATCTGGGCCCCAGACTGCCTCAGTATTCAGCCCCTACTTTGTACGTGAATTTACCAGGAATAAACCCTGTTTGCAGCACAATATTTTACAAGCCATTTTGGGTTCTGTGCATGTTGACAGATGCGGAGAAAAGGGTGTTTTGGTATTGTATTTAACACCAACGCATTTACATTCCAAGCAAATATGTAAAATACATACTGTTATCTCCCATAGGAAGAAACAAATTACTGGCGTGTCAGTACGCAGAACAAGCTGCTCCAGTACTACAGTTCACTTCAGAGAAATGACAGAGCACAAGATCTCATCAGCAACGTGATGCCAAACGCTGTGCTGTCAGGAGTAAACCCAGGGTGTTATTACTCTTGATGTTCTTTTTCTTTTCATCATTAAAACGATCAGACAGCATTGCCGCTAGCTGTTCTGGATTTGATAGATGGTAATCTGAACACTTAAGTTCCTTCATGCAAGGGGAAGGAACAAAAAAAACCTGCTGGAATAACAGTTACCAGTCTGCGTGACGGTTCACTTCCCAATTTGTTCCCAAACCAGTGGTTTTTGAAGGATGACTTGAATAGAAGCAGAATTATGCTCCCCCCCCCTTTTTTTAAACCTGTTTCCCTCATTCCTGCTCGATCATTACACAACCAGATAGCTGGAAGAGCATTATTTACATACCCTTGCTCCACAGTCCTACTGGCTTCTGCAACGTCACTTAGGATGCTACTTGCAGCAAACTAAGATAAGAATTCCTCACAGCTTCCTCAGCAATCCAGAATAAGCAGAACTGTATCTGAGCCCTATTTCACATGGAGCCCTAATGAATTTCCAATGTGTCTTCATCCTAAGCTGCTTTGTTTCCTTCTTCGTAGCTCTGCCTCTAAAAAATAAAGTAATAGCACTCTACAAAGAGGGCCCCAAATCTACAGATCACAGTAAGGTGATGCACAGCAGGGGACCACACCTATAAGTCACTAAAATTGTGTCAACACAGTCCCCCACTTCTCTCTGCTGGGGAGAAGATGCAGGTTTTTCCTAGTCACCTTCCTGTCTGCCTCCAGGAGCAAACCGTTCCCACAGACCCTCAAGCTGGCTAACGTAGAGGCAAGGACAAACATCGCCAGACTCTAAGCCTTTGGAAAACAGCCCAGAATTGAGAAGCCCATTTACAGCCACCACGGCTTCTCCAGGGCAGTGCCTGGGCACAGGAAGGCCCCATCCTTCCCTCCTCTTAGGCAGGGAGTCCGAAGGGTGGCAAACAGGATTCTAAAATCCACTCCTCTGCTTGCTGTCCAAGCAATTGAAAAAAAGCAGCTGAAAACACACCCAGTGGCAGAGGAGAATGATTTGAGTTAGATCACTTACTTTTTCTTGTCTTTGTCCTTCTTCAGTGGCTGCTGTGAGGTAGCCTGCAAGGATTGGGACTGCAAGGTTTCCACCGCTACTTTCCGCCTGTTGAAGGCATTCATCTCTTCTTCCAGCTCCCTCCTCTTCTCCTCCACCTTCCTCTTCTCTTCCTGGTGTATCCTCTTTAAGTGCTCAAATTTCTCATGCAGCTGGCAGGAGACAGGCTCTCTAATTATCACACCCACTACACCTGCTAGGCTGCAATCCCTCAGCCCTGCTCCCCTGGAAGCGTAACCACAGGTCCCACACAAGTCCCCACGGTGTTACAGGGATCCAGCCTAGCTGACGAGGCACCAGACACCCAGGGCCTCTGCAACATGCAAGAGCTGTGGCCGCTTCACCAAAGCGGTGAAGACACAAATTCAGCGCTGCCTGTCACCACGTATCAAAGCAGGAGAAACAGCGAGCCCTGGGGCAAGGGCACAGAGGACCTCAGCTCAGTCCTCAGCCCTGCCACAGGCCTGGGGACGCGACACTGGGCTCTCCCATTCCTCACTGGTTTGAGGAGGGTCAGCCTGTTTCCAGTCTTGACAGCTGCCCATGGCTTCACACGACTGAGCTTGAGGAACCCAGCCTAGCTGTCCCATTTACTCTGCTGCCCATTAAGTCTTCATGTGTTAAGCTGATATGACATAATTGCTCACCGAGACGTTCTGCACCGCCCTTTGCTGATCAAGCAGCAGCCCAGTCTTGCACATTGCACAAAGGGGAAGATGATTGTTTCGGAGGCACCCAAATCAGCAATGCTCTTTTGAAAACATTACCCTGCATCCCCTCCTCTGAGCGGGGGAAGGTGCGCGTTTGTGCTTTGGCTAACACGGTCTGCTCAAGATGTGCACATGCTTTAGAGGATTCATACGTTGCCCAGACCCAGATCTTATGCCTGACTGTGTATTTTGGGCTCTTCTCACAGGTTTTTGGCACACCCACCTCTCTCTCCTTCTCTTTCAGCTCTGCCTCCGTCTCCTTGACTTTGTTAACAAACATTTGTCTCATTTCTTCCTCTTTCCGCTGGAGTTCGCCCAAGAATTCCTTTCTTTTGGTCTCGTACGTTTCCTGGAGGCTGCGTAAGAAAGCAAACGAAACCCAGACTCTTTGGACACCAGTGGCTTAGGGATGGGGAAACGTATGCCTGCGCTGCTTAAAGACAAACAGACAAGGAAGCAACAATGCCAAAGCCAGATGCAAAGCTCAAAACCAATGCTGGTATGTTCCAGGCCAGCACTGGGGGTACAGCCTACAAACCTCCCATTTTCCTCAGGTGTCAATACCCATCTGTTGCTCTAAACTGCTGCTAAACGTGCAGGCCACTCACCTGAACGGCTGGCTGTCTGGATCTGTGTCCTTGAACCCCATCTCTTCCAGCTTGCACCTCCGGTACAGCTCATAGTGGCGGGTGTGAGTCTGCTCCCGAAGATCCTCCATGTTGACTCGAATCAGCATTTCTCTCAGTTTCACAAAGTCACAGTGACTTTCATTCTCAACTGATTGAATCAAAGTGAAAAGTCAGCCAACTGCACACACGAGACGGAGAGGAGAAGCACAAATGCACGTACAGAACAACTCCAGGTTTCCAAGGCCCTGAGCGCGAGGCAAAGGTAACAAAAGCCTTTTGGATGCAGGGGCTCCCCTGCGGACCGTGGGAATCTGCCCAGGGCTCAGGGTAGGAGGCACGCGTGCGCGCGCACAGGCAGGTTTGCAGCCGGGCGCCCACTCGCAGAGCCTTACCTTGCACCACACCCCACGGGTACTGCCGAGCTCTCACCAGCTTGTTCCCAACTTTCACCTCCTCCGTGCTGCCAACCACGGCAAAGGGCAGATGAGCCTGAAACACAACCGACGCAGGGACTCAGGGCAGGGGCTGATCTCTCTCAGGCATCAGCCCAACCACCAGCTCCTCCGCACCCGGGCACAGAAGCCACTTCAAAACGATCTTTCCTCCGAAGCCCTGAATCTCCAATACCTGGCGCAGAGACAGTCGCTACTGTCAACTGGGATATCGTGGCCCTGGGATATTGGGGCAGAGAGCAGCACGGGGCCATAGCGCAGCAGAGCAGCTCTCTGGCAATGCCGGCTTTGCGACTGAGCAGGGCAGGGAAATACTGTAGGAAAGCCGTGATCATCACTGATCTCCCTCTGTCTGCATGTCTGGTTGTTCTTGTAGCTACGGACTCTCCGCACATCAAGAGGAGGCCCTCGCTGCCTTGCGGAGAGCACAAGCAAAGACATCCGTAAACAGGCCTTGGCACGGCAATTTGTGCGTGGGCATCGGATGGGACATTTGCAGGATACAACATGTGCTCATTGCTCTGTAAGACTGCAAAGCATCAAGCACAGTTAGGAAACAGGGCATCGTCCTCGAGGCAATGTCCTCAGCTTTGCTTAGTGCAGGAAAGGAGCCAGTGGAGCAGGCGCGTTGCTTTTTGAGCGCGTCTGCAACGTTCACGAATACAACGTACTGCTCCCTCCCAGTCTTCCAGCGCAGGCAGAATATTTCTTCTTCTAGAAAGCTCCCCCCTTCCCCAAGACCTGCCATCTTGCTGCAAGGCAAACTTCAATGAGGAACGCATGCTTTATTCTCCCTTCCTCCTTCACGTCATCGCTACTTTCCTCTGCGGTGGCAGCGGGAAGCCACGCATCAGGAACGGCCACGGCTGCTGCACAGAGCCTGCCTCCCCCTCCGCAAAACGGCCCCATCCCAGGCTTGCTCCCACCCCGCACAGCGCCGC